GTGACTATTGTTCATAGATTTCTCCTTGATTCTTTATATTTTCTGTTTCCGATCTTTCTTTTGATTCTTTTGACCAGGGCTACCCTATTTCCATCACATCATCAGTTTTACTTGCCAAAGGATTTCTAGGCATTTGATTTTTGGACTTTCCCAGGGGAAATCCTGAGAATTCTGGGGGCTATTTTTCCAGTCCTGTGAAGGGTGTGGCCACGTGGTGGAGGCTGTTAGGGATAATAGAAAAGACAGAGAAAACAATGGAATGTGTTAGCCCTTCTCCTTCTAAGCCCACTCCATGAAAGGGTTTGGCATCCACTGTGCTGAATCCTCTGGGCATGAATACTACATTCTGACCACTGGGAAATTGGTGAGCTATATAAGAAAATAATTGTCTTTCTTTGTCGCAGCTATTTGGTGACCCAGAGTCCTAGAGACTCTGACCTCGGGCTGTGAGTAGGACATAGAGATATTTGGACAACTCATGAAACCACTGACCTCCCAGCTTCAATGCTGGGCTTTGGGGTCATTTTATGATATTCTCTGGGAAGGAAGAAGTCAAGCTTAACACACATGCCAGTGCACTCCCAAGGTAGACCTGATAGCTGGGGGGGGGGGGGGGGTAGAAGATGTGAAGAAGAGGGTTACATTCTTTGGAAAACACTGGCAATGAAAATCACCCAGACTATTGTCTCTACTTACCCAACCTATTATGCTGCTGATGAAAACTGTATAAACATGAGCTCAGCAGAAAGTTTCCTACTTCTTGCTCATCTAGAAATAAGGAATACACAAATAGCTGAGGCTACTGGGGGTGGGGGGCTGATAATTGGACAATACCTCACTTTGGATTAAATTTATTTTCCTAAATTCCGTATCACATTTAAAATCCCCTCACTCAACCTAAACAAAATTCTCCAGAGTCCTTTATAAAGTTCTCTCTCTCTCTCTCCACAGATGACATCTGACCTTTGCCCTCCTACGAGGCCAGGTGCTTCTGTTTTTCCTCTGAACCGGGCCCCCGCCCCCATCTGCTACTGCCCCCAAGGGAAGGTCCTGCAACCACCTGAAGCCGCTCTGGTCACTGGCTCTGAGGTTTGTCCGCAGGAATTGCAATTCCTCCAATGCTGTGGCGCATGGCTGTGCTTCCTCCCTAAGAATGCTTGAGCTGTTTACTCACAGATGTCTCTGGTAACTGCAAGCTAAACAGCAAGCTCAGCTTCCCTGAACCACTGAGGGAAGACTGTGGGGCTTGTGGCTCCACGATCCCTTGCATAAATGAATCAGGAAGGAGGGAGTGGCTATTTACAGTGAAGGGGCCCCTGTAAATATACCCTCCATAATAAGTATGTAGAAGAAAGGAAAGGGAAAACTGACAGTGGGGTTTTACCAACCTCTGCCTAGGACATAACATAGTTCTCTTATTTGCACGGAAGGACAGGCTGTGATCAGCATGTTACATGGGGGATTACACAGAGCTCAAGGGCGGCTGAAGTTCACGTATGCAAAGGCAGTGGAGGTGTATTTCTAGAAGGAAGGCTTGGTGTTCATTTAGAAAAAGGGGGCTCAGTGGCCATTTAAGTCAGGTCCAAGAGTCTGGAGGTAAAAGGAACACACCTGAGTCTCCACACAAGGTCAATGAAGCTATGCTGGAATTTCCCTCAGCTCAGAAAGCAGTGTATCTGGGATTGTTAAAATACAAAGATGCCACACCATCTTTTAGGAAATCTCTTTTCTTTGCTCTAAATTGCTTTTTTGTGATTTTCTTCCTCCCCCTTCTCACACTGTGGGCTAAGACACTAATTCATAGCTCTTGATTTACTGTAAAAGTCTTTCCCATAGGAAGAGATGTGAGTGTGCATGCACACATGCATTCAGGCATATGAATATGCCTAAGAAACCAATATAGACATGGTACAATAAGAATGATGGGAGGATACTTAGAGATGTGTCCACTGAGGAAGATTTTTAAAATAGTTTTGTTGATATCAGATACTGTGCGAAGCATAAGAGAAATTCTTGCACCTAATCCTGACATCAACCAAATGAGCCAAGTATTATGCTTATTAAAGATGTGGAAACTGAGGCAGCAGCAGAGAAGCAAATACATGAGCCTTGAAACCAGCTCATTTTGTTCTCAAAATCAGACTCTGGTGATTGTTGGCTGTGTGCCTCCGTAAGTTACTAAACTCTTTCAGCTCCAAGGTAGTCATATGAAAAGGGGATAGGATCTATCTCATAAGGTCACTGTGAAGATTAAATAAAGTGCCAAAGCCAGATCATCAATAGTTTAGGATATGAATAAATAGTCCTGTGAATTAAAGTTCAAAATAATTTCAGTTCGTTTACAAAATAAAACAAAACAAAAAGTGCTTAAGTTAAAAACAAAACTAGTTCCCCCTTCATCTTCATTATTAGTGTCATGTTAGAAGTACTAAGACTCCCTGATCTTCCCAATGTGACAGGGTTTTGCCCAGGAGGCAATGTCCCCAGAATTGATGAGGCTTGATTATGGGGAGCATTTCCTTGGGCCAAGTCTTGGCAGACAGCCGGCAAAGTTCACTGGTTGTGTTCCTGACTTTGATTTTCTTTTGACCAAGAAAGAATTGGAAGATTATAAAACCACAAATATGGACCAGCTCTAGAGAATCTTGAGGGAGAATTAATGATTTTCAAATATTAGAATGTCCTTTTATTTGGGTACTTTTTAGTTCACAAAGATGACAATTTTTCTCTTGATTAAAAAGATTTTCCAGTCAGTCCATCAGGGGACAAGTTCACTGGCTTGATTCTGGGGATACTTCCTGGACCCTGGTCTATGTGTAGGCAAGGGGCAGAGAGGTAGACACTCTCAGATAGCAGGGCAGCTGACTGGCAGCCACACCGAGCTGTGTTGATGTGCATGTTCCAGGAGGAAGCAAGATGGACAGGTCCCTCTCCAGTCCTAAGAGCAGAGGGTGGGAGAACTCCTGATTCCTTACCTCCAGATGTCAAGGCAGATAGACTAGGGAGGACACAGGGAAACCATCAGAACAGGTAAAGACCCAGCCGAAGGAGGTGGACCCCAGACACTGAAAGAAGTCGGAAAGCACCAATGCAGTGAACCAAGGAAAAGATGCACCCCAGAATTTACCATGAAACTCTCACCCGCTGTTTAGTCAGGTTTTTGTTTTGTTTTGTTTGTCTCTGTGACCAAAGAACAAGAACAATTAGAGAAGGAAAAGTATATTTGGGGGCTCACAGTTTCAGAGATCTCAGCCCATAGTTGGCCAACTTCATTCCTCCTGGCCTAAGGGGAGGAGGAATGAACATCACAGCAGAAGAGTGTGGTGGAGGGAAGCAGCATCATATCAGGAAGCAAAGACTCCACTCACCAGACAGAAAATATTCACCCCAAAGGCACACTCCCAATGCCCACCTTTTCCTGCACACCCTACCTGCGGTCAGTCACCACACAGTTAGTCCTCATGAGGGGATTAATTCACTGATTGGGTTAAAGCTGTCATAACCCAATCATTTCACCTCTGAGTGTTCTTGCATTGTCTCACACATGAACTTTTGGGGGACACCTGCTATCTAAACTATAACACCCACCAATGCAAATCATTAAGGCTGAAGAACAACAAAATGTCTTCTAACAAATGTAATGAAAAGAATGATTTACTAATGCAAATTTACACTCTCTTCAATGTCCCCCTTTTACAGGTATTTCCTACCCAAATGTTGAGATAAATGGCCAGGTGCTTTCTTTGTTTATTTTTAATTAGTTATTCATGACAGTAGAATGCATTTTTAAATTTTTTAATTCTAATTTGTAATATATGACAGCAGAATGCATTACAATTCATATTATACATATAGAACACAATTTTTCATGCCTCTGTACACAGAGTCACACCATTAGTGTCCTCATACATGTACTTAGGGTAATAATATCCATCTCATTCCACATCTTTCCTACCTCTATGCCCCTTCCCATCTCCCCTCCCTCCTCTTTGCTCTGTCTAGAGTTCCTCTAATCCTCCCATGCTCCCCCCACCAGCTCCATTATAAACCAGCATCCTTATATCAGAGGAAAGATTTGGCATTTGGTTTTTTAGCATTATCTAACTATGCTTAGCATTATATTCTCCAACTCCATCCGTTTGCCTGCAAATACCATTTTTTTATAGAATGCATTTTGACACATTGTATACAAATGGAGCCCAACTTCTCATTTCTCTGGCTGTATAGGTGCACAAACTGGCAAAAGTCAATTCTGAGACTCAGAGCCTCCTCCAAGGCAACAGTTTCCATCTTCCAGGAGAATGGGGCTGCCCAGGAACAGCTAGGCTGGAGGAGGCAGGAGAAAAGGGTTAGTCTGTGAGCTCTATGGCTGTCATTGACTCTCTGAGGGATACTCTTCCCTGTGGACGGTCCCTGAGACATCTATGGGTCGTTCATTCACCGCTCAGAATATCTTTCCTTTGTTCCATCCACCTCCTAAATTCCAGCATCAGGGGTCAGCTCAAAGCCACAAATTCTGAAAGGGCCGCCTAGGTGACTCCCACCCAACATCCCTCTCTTGTGTCACACTTGATGGAGTGCTGCCAGTTCCTAGCCTCAACTCCCTGGGTCAGGGTATGGGTAGCATTAGGGGTGCATGTTCAGGTTTCCTCTTCATCTTCATTATCAGGGTCAGGTTAGAAGTAAGTACTAAGATTCCCTTATCTTCACGATGTACGGGGCTTTGCCCAGCAGGCAGACGTCCCCAGAATTGATGAGACTGAGGACGCAGAGGGAAACCTAATTTAACACAATTTTGGCTTGATTATGGGGAGCATTTCCTTGGGCCAAGTCTTGGCAGGCAGCCGGCAAAGTTCACAGGTCGCATTCCTGACCCGCGTCTCCAGTTCCCCGCCCGCGAGAGGCCGCTGGAGCCGCCCTCAGCGCAGGTGACAGGAGCCCGGCGGCTCTGCTCCGCCGCCTAGAGCCTGGAAACTGTCATTGCGCCCAGGGACCCTCGAGCTGAGCTGCAGGAGCCGACCCCATACGTAGGGGCCGGCGGGCGCACTACACTGGCAGTCTGAGGGTGGTGTCTGAAGTCAGATGCTCCCTGTCTTTTCCTTGGCCTGGGTGACAGGCTCACGCTGCCCGGCTCAGGGAGTCCCGGGTTGCCCCGCCCAGCCGCCCGCGCCCTGCTTGGTGCGTGCAGAGTCCCCGCCCCCAGTCCCCACCCCCCGTAGCCTTAGGGGGGCACCCCCATTGGGGCTGGAGGGTGGTCCGTCGTGCCCTGGTCGCCGAGTGGCGAGAGGTGACGGTAAGCTCCTTCCGATTTCCGCCCGCCTGGCAGCGCCGAGGGGTAGTGCCAGTCGGGAGGCGCTCGGTCCTCCCTCGGCCCGCCCGCCCGCGAGGGGGGCCGGCCCTGCTTTGCCAGCGCCTTTTTCCCCCCCGCACCGCGGCGCCGCTCCGCCACTTGGGCACCGCAGGGAGGGCAGGAGGCTGGAGCGCCTGCTGCCCGCCCGCCCGTAAAATGGTCACCTCGGCCGGACAGCTCGCCCTGTTCGCGCTCGGTAAGTACACTGCCTGCTGCTCGTCGTGCGCCCTCTGCCACACGCCGCTTCCTCCGTCCCTTCCTTTTCTTTTTTTTTTCTGGGGGATTTCTGTGCAGGCAGGAGAGTTGGGGGTGGCTAATGCTTTTAATGGGTTGGAGCCTGGGAGGCAAAGGGAGACGCTAAGAATTACAAAGAGAGGGACTGTCAAGCGCCCTGGCTTTCCCTGGGTAGTGGCCGCCTGGGCGGTGCGTGAGAACGCCAGGGAAGGGGAAGCGGTGTGTGAACGGGTTTGAACTTTAATCCGCCGCGGCTGTGTGTCTGCTCGTACACATGCCCACACCTACTGCTTACCTGGCTGCCTCCAAACCGGTCTTCACCGGCGATGGTGGTGTGTAGACTCTGAGCCGCTTTGGAGCCCGGGGTGGGCGTCCGACCCTCTCTGGCTGGCCTTTGCTTGGTATCTTGTACCCTCTGCCTACCCTTGAGCCCCAGACGGACAGAAGTTCAGGATCCCCTTAGGCGCCCTCAATCTTCTAACTTTAAGAGCTCTTGAGCTTTGGGGTAGGTTTTGGATTTTTGTGCGGATTAGTTTTTCTTTTAATTAACTTCCTTGGAAGAAGTGGTTTCAGTGTCAGTTGAGGGCAGGAGTGAAACCCTAAGCAGAGCGTTACCAGTTTCCTTTGAGTTTGTTCTTGGAAATGAATGGGGGGTGGGGGAGGGGAGGGGAAGTTAAACCTAGCCCACCTGGGGTTGGTCTGGGTGGCCCGAGTGCTTTTCTACCATGAAGTTCATAGGTATGCTGTACGTGGTCAGGAGCTCAGGGGTGCACGCTGTTTGGGACTCTTGCCCCTAGTGATATTGGGTCTCTCAGGTGTTAGCTGATTGATGATCAGTCCAGGTGTCCCGATTACCCCTGCAGCCTTCAGTGGAAGGAATTGTAGCTATCTCCTGAGTCTCACCTTGCAAAGCAAGTTGCTGGCTACATCGTTATAGGACCATTAAAGTCTGAAGAAAGCTTTAGAACACACCCCGCAATGTCCAGAGCTGCGACCTCATCCAGTTAGTGTAGGATTGCAGGAGGTTCCTGGAACAGCCCGCAGTACTGTCCTTGATACCGTGATTAAGGGTGATGAAGAATCGCAGCAGTAGGGAACTCATCCTCTAGGGGAAAATATGGGGCAGTCGTGGAAGGAGATGCTTTCTGCATCCTCCCCTAAAACTCACCAACAGGTGATATGATTATAAGCGGCTTTTCACCTCCTTCCTAAGAGCTCCCCCTTTTGCATTTTGTATTATGTATTGTGTATTGACTTGTTTCAGTTCAAAAAAATTTTTTTAAAGCAGTGAAACATTGCAGATAAATGGAAGCCTCCTGGATAGATTCCCTGTTCTGAGGTGGTGTTGTGGTTTTTTTTTTTTTTTTTTTTTTTTTTTTTTTTTTCAAATAATAGTAGTAATAATAGTTAACACTATGTGAGTGCTTACTGTGTCAGGCACACTACTAGTTTATTAACTCATTTAGTTTTCACCCACCTGATTACCATTCCCATTTTCTCGAGGAGGGAAGAAAAGCCCACAGGGCCCACAGTAAGTAGTTGGAGGAGGATTATAAGAATGTGGAAGAAATGTGGATAAGGAAATGTCACTTTACTTGTGGTCAGAATGGTACCAGTCTCTTAGGAGTGGGATTTTGCCTTAAGGAGAGGTTGGGTAGAATACCCTGGAACTTTCTTTGCTATTAAGTCAGGTTACCTTTGAACTCCTAGAACCTCAAGGTGGTTATGCAGTGAAAATTTAGAGATAGAAAATGATGAAGGCAAACAAATTTGGGGAAGTCTTTGAAAGTTTTCTGCCCCTACCCACAACCTCCATCATAGCACACTCATAGCAAAGACGTGGAATTTTTCTCTTTTGTCTAAGAATGTTCTCTCCAACTTGGTCTTTGTTTCCTGCCTTAAGAAAAAGATGTATAAACATAAAAAAAATTGATCAATATGTAAAAGCTGGCTCATACACTTCCAAAATGTGAGCAGTTGAAAAATGTAGAAAAAAAATCAGTAGTAATTTACACCACTAAAGACTCCTTTTTATTTATATTTCTTTAAAAGAAAAATCAGAGCTGTCAGTTCTGTGCATTTACTAGAACTGCTGCCTCCCACATGCATCTTTAATTTGCCATGTTTCCTCCAAAGCTGCTTTCCTCTCTAATTTTTCTTAAATTAGTTAAAGGCAGTTCCAGGCAAATCAGTCTGTTCCATTGCTAAGCAAGATCTAGAAAACCTTCCTGGCTGGGGACAGTCTGAGAAGGGGCTATTAGGAGTCTGAGCTAATGCTTGATTACTTGGAACCTGAATGCTGCTGATTAATGCTTTGAGTGACAAGAGTGTGGAGACTGTTGCCCAAATGGCAGCTTTGGAAACATAACTCAGGTTCCCATAGGGGCTGCCATCCCATGTAGGATTTCCATTGCTGGCAGACACACCTCACAGGGTCTTGGCACTTCCAGTTGCACGTCCTCCTCAGTGTCCAGGGAACAAGATGTAGTCTTCGGCAAGATGCTTAGCTAATCTGTGCCTTGTTTTTCTCCTCTGTAAAATGGGGATGTTGAGAATTATCGGATATATTGAATATATTTAGAATGGTACTGGCTTGTAGTAGGAGCTTCTCAATCTTAATGCCGTCACCACTGTGTTGTTGGTTTTGCTTGGTACCCTGTAGAATTCCAGGCACCATTGCAAGTTACGTGGGTTCTATAACTGGAAGAGTTTGTCCATTTTAACTACCTCAGCTCCCTGCTCCTCACCCTTTCTAGGCCAGAAAAATACCGCCCAACCTGAAAAGCTACCTAGGTGATTTCTGGTGGATATCATTTGGTAGAAGTCATACTCCAGCCAGTTTAGGACAGATGTCATGAGCTCTTTAATTTTTGATGTGAAGCATTTGTGCCTCCCTTTTAATATTCAATGATCACTTGTTTATTCAGGACAGCACTAAGTTCCATTTTTCTCATCTGTAAAGTGGGAATAATAAAACTGTACCCAACTCACAGGTTGTTAGGAGAATCAAATGAGATGATAAATATGGAAGCTATTTATAAATTATAAAGGCTACACACAAAATGGAATTGATTTGATGATACAGAAATGAGGTTATAACCCAAGATAAACATTTTTATAGCAGTTCTCATCAATGAGAACTGCAGGTAGAATTGGAGGCTGTTTGAAGATGCCAAGGACGGGCAGAGGTGGAATAGGTCACCTTCCTTTTGGAATTTAGGACTGAGGGATCAGCAGAGGGACTGAAGTAAGCCGTTTCTTTTCTCCATTACATGGAAATGTCATCTTTCAGAGTAGACCGTCAAGGTTTGCCTAGGACACATGTTTTCCATACTGGGCAGTCATAATTAGGGAGTGTTCACTTAGAATGTGGCTGTAAAGGGGTATATAGAAGACTTCAAGGCTGAATTTCCCCTATTTGCTTTTCCAGAATTTGGTTTCCTCAGGATAAAGTGATCTTTCTGTAAATAATGTCCCCATGCAAAGGAGACTTTTTTTTCAGGAGCAAATGATGCTTCGTGTTACTGTTACTGTGGTAACATATGAAAAATAGATGACTTTTTCATTGGACCTATCTCCAAGGACCTTTTCAAAGTGTGTTTTGAACAAGGTCCTCATCTGTGCACTGCCACGAACAGGCACTGGCTCAGCCAAAATGAGAATGGCTTGTACACATGCAATTAGGCATCTTCTGTTTGGTTTCACGCTCAAACCTTCCACAGTATCTTCTACAGCAGTGCCCTTAAATCAGAATCACCTAGAGGGCTGGTAAGCACAGGTTGCTGGGCCCCAACCCAGTGTTTCTGATTCTGTAGGTGGGAGAGTCTGCATGCCCAACAAGTTCCCAGGTGTGGCTGATGCAACTGGTAGGGAAGAGGCGGGTGGGCCACTTCAAGAACCACTGCTCCTCAATCAACTGCCATTGGGGAACGTTCTGGCTTCAGTTGCTTTGTAAAGTACATTCTGAAGTTTGTAAATGCTGCTGTGGGTTTATGAACCATTATTCAATGTACGTCCAAGGTCTGTCTTGCTGACCAGGGCAGAGTTAGAATTCTTGCTGAGATCTCTTACTTGTTACAAGTGTGCTTGTACTTTATCCGTGTAAGTTGCACCCACTGGTCCTGTGTTATTAAAGTCACCAGCATTAATCATGTTACTTATTTTATTATTATCATTATTATTTGGTACCAGGGATTGAACCCAGAAGTGCTTAACCACTAAGCCACATCCCCAACCTCTTTATTTATTTATTTATTTATTTTGAGACAGGTTCTCTTCAAGTTGCTTAGAGCCTTGCTAAGTTACTGAGGCTGGCTTTGAACTTGTGATCCTCCTGTCTTGGCCTCCTGATTATTATTTTTTTGATTGCCCAAAGTTGACCATTGTTTTCCTGCCACTTCAAATGTTTTTTTAAAAGAGAGAAAGGGAGGGAGAGAGAGAATTTTAATATTTATTTTTTAGTTTTCAGTGGACACAACATCTTTTGTATGTGGTGCTGAGGATCGAACCCTGGCCGCACGCATGCCAGGCGAGCGCGCTACTGCTTGAGCCACATCCTCAGCCCCAACTTCAAATGTTTTTGATCACCTAATTTTAATTCTGTCCTATATTTAAGATTGTTTCTAGATGAAGGAGGAGGATGGGGAGTTTTATAGTGGTTTTGGCTAGCTTTTTTAATGTCCCTTATCAAATGGGAAATACAAAAATCTTTCAGAGAATCAGGAAAGCCAGAAATCTAGGCTATCGGAACCCTCTCTCAAGAGTTCTCCAATTGCAAGGCACATTCCCTTCAGGCCACCTCTAAAAATCTGGGTCAATTCTTTTCGAGCATTATGAGTTTATTGTATTGAAGATGACTTTAAAAATAAATAGTTATTACTTAGGCTTAGAAAGAGTTGGAAGTTTATTGAAATGGAGTTTGATGTCTTTTACAAGTGACATAAAGTCAGAGGAGACAATTTT